GATCTAATTAATGTGTATAAACAAATGCGGGCTGGGTGTCAGAAAGGGAGGGGCAACCTCTTCTCACTCATGCCCTGCGATAGGACACGGGGCAATGGACACAAACTCGAGCACAAGAAGTTCCACCTCAACATGAGGAAGAACTTCTTTACTGTAAGGGTTCCAGAGCACTGGAACAGGCTCCCCAGGGAGGTTGTGGAGTCTCCTACCCTGGAGACTCTCAAGATCCATCTGGATGCGTTCCTGTGTGACCTGCCCTTGACTAGGTGTTCCTGCTCTGGCAGGGGGGTTGGACTGGATCTCTGGAGGTCCCTTCTAACCCCTAACATTCTGTGATTCCGTGATTCCCCCTTCGGCCAGCTTTTTTATCTGTCTTAGAGCCAGCCCTCTTAAGCTTTAAGAACATGTCCTGAAAAATTAATCCCACTGCTTTTTTGCTTTCAGCCTTTAGTAAAAAAATTAAAAAAACTAAACAACACACCACAAAACCCCACACAGACACATAGAAAAAGGCAATAAAATTATGCTTTCGCACCCAATTCTTTGTGGCATAAAATACAAGTTCTGTCATTAAGCAACAATGTATAAGAATTTGCAACTCTGATGTCTGGGTTACTGAAAAGGTCAACTTTCCCCTCTCCTCCTCCCAACCACAATCAGTATCAACATCTTCAGATGCTGACCCTCTCTAAAGTTACGCAAATAATTTCAGTACAGGAAGTAAACAATAGTAACATATTTAAGAAAACAGGAATGTAAATGACACGTTTCTGAAGAGAAAACAGCAGCAAAATCCAGAGTCTAAAAGTCTTTTTTATAGATGGTCTACTAAAACTACTTTCAACTCAATCTTGAAATTCTGTTACATAAACATCTGTGAGAATTCACATATATTGAGTCCAATATATTTGAATCCTATAATTCTCTGACTAGCAAGTCAGAGTTTATTTATCACATCATAATAGCATGGAGGAAACACAAGGTCTGGCTGTATTCTGGAGGGAGAAAGGGGTCACAACGGCATCTTTAAGGTTCTACACTGTTCTGCTGAGACCAGAACAGACCCAGTTAGTGGCTTCCCCCCCTCCTCTGCCTATAGTTTGATTTATTCTTCAGATTACCGAGTATTTATGCTTGAATCAATATCTTTCAAGACATTCAACAGGCAGCTGACTTAAACATAAAGGCTTCCTCTCCACACAACTAAAAGAACAACCAGCAAAACATAAGACTTCATAAATACCTTCTAAGAAGACAGCTTAACTCAAGTTTCCCACATGCAGCCTACAGTTGGAAACATACTTTATTTTAGAGCCTCTTGAAAAATACAGGACTTTGGGAAAGGTTACAGTTAACAGAATATTTAACTTTGACATATCACTTCAAAGTCTTCCTCCAGTTTCTTTGCCAATCTACTGCAGAATTCATCAGTGTTGCTGTTCTTTCTTTCAAGTACACATAACTATAGGATTATTCAGTGTTTTTAAATGGGCAGCAGGATCTTCCTCTATTGCAAACCAGCTTCAATTGGGGAGGGGGTGGGTGGAAGAAGAAGAAAAATTTGATGTCTTAAATGAGGCATACCCTCTTAGGTTTCTCTCAAGTAACCTCTTAAATCACTATTTCATACAGGAGTGAGAAAGAGACAGCAGAAAGCCCCAGACAGAATTTGCTGTCAATGAAAAAATACTTCCAGAGAAAAACAAAACAAACCAAGTAAAAAAGCCCCAAAACGAGATTCCACCAAGTCTCAACACACTGACCTTCCAGTTCCCCAGCAAGACAGTATTACATACGCAGTGATGTATGTTTCTCCTGCCTACCTGAATGTAAATTTGAAAACCAAAGAGATTGGTCATGATGAACTTTTTGTAGCACCATAATTACAGATGTAGCATATCAGCAAAAACTCCATTTTGATGACATAAAAGAAACCCAGAAATTTTGTGGTGTGTTGTTTGGTTTTATATAATCAAAAGTTCTTGAAATTGTAAACAAGATGTATTTGTACACAAGATGCATTATGTAGCTCTCAATACTCAGAGCAACCCTAACTGCACTCTTAGTTGGCAGCACTGAAGTGTATTGATATTGTCAGTAACTCATTTTAAGTAACAGCATTAAGAATATTTTTCACCCCTCTTTGTGAAGTTTATCAGCTACTTGGTAGATGATTACTGAATGCTTAAGACCTTTCACAAATGAAGAAAATTACTTTGTACCAGGAGTGTGTTCTTTGAATGCAGAATTCCAAGTACTTGTCTAAAACAAAACAATTAAGGTTGCTTGTTTTGCCCCTTCTTAGATCAAAGCAGAAGGAGCAATAGCCATGTAGAGCCTGTGGGAATCACAAGAAATTTTCCAGCAGCTACAGCAAGTCCCATCTGACAGTTTTTACAATGGTCACAGCTTCACAGTCTCTACTACTTCAGTCCATGTGGCATATGAAGCATTAGGGAACTCACTCTTTGCTCAATTATCTCTACCAGAAAATAAAACCATTTGGTGGCAATTCTCTATCCAAGCAATTCTGTGTAGGAGATCGCTATGCAGGCAGGATGAGTGCTTCCTAAGAGGGTGATCTTGGACTCCTGAAGCTGGCAATCACAAACATTAACTGCCAACAATGCATCAGCCATGTAATTGCGAAGGCCAGTTGCAATGTGACCAACCACAAAGCGAAAAAAGCTGAAGGGTAAAATTTTGCTCTTGAACAAAAGGAGGTGAAGGGAAAAGTCCATTTTCTACTCCTCCTCTGAAGCACATAACTTGCAGTGTCGATTCTTTCCTATTTCCATGCATGGAAGAGAGTGACATACACCAAAACAACCTATGCTTCCTCTAACAAAAAAACTCATTCCAAGTCAAGGTAAAATAAAATAAAAAAAAAAAAAGCTGTTTTTCCTTTCTCGTGTGAAAAGCTAAAACTTCAGTATTCAAATATATGGATAGGGATGAAGCTGCGAAACAGGGTAAGTTTGACAGCAGTCTTCATAACCTAAACTGTTACAAAGTGTAATTAAACAAGTACAGGCTTTCAGTTTGGCTGACGTTTTCTTTCCTTCCTACAAAATCACAACTGAAGTGGCAAGGCAATGATAAATTCAACAGTTACTAGTCTTCAGTTTTCCATTCAGTATCTCTTCAATGTAAATGTATGGCCATAATAGTACTGAAATCAAAAGCAACAGTTCCAGCTGAGTATTCAAGAGCTGTTTTATTAATTTTGTTGCAGCTTCAACACTGAGGAACAGTCAGTGGCCTAAACCTTGCCTCTAAAGTAATAAAGTGTGTATTAACTACTTTTTTCAGATCTAGGCAGTGTTGTCTCCTATGCTTTTCCAGTCTTTAAAAACAAAAAGCAATCAGAGTCAAGAAACAGATTAACTCATGTGCTATATACAAACCTTTAACTCTGTAACATTTATGGCATTAAGATAGATTTTCCAGTTACTTCTGGATTTCATACATCACTTCATCATAACAGCTGTAAAGCTTGTACAGTTACAGGGGTCAGATGAGAGACGTCTTTCATTGCCCACAATAGCCCAACATGACTAATTTTTTTAGCATTCTCTGGCAAAACATTGCTTCTTATATTTTAGTGGATTTATTTGAAACTACACTCTAAAAGGATGATTCCTGTGTTCTTTGCAGTGTTTCAGATGTAAATAACCCAGATCCCACATGCTAGTTTCACTTTTCCCTCATGTATTATCTACCATACTGATATGTCAAAATGTCTGACACCAAAGCTGTTTTATCCAACAAAAGCTGATACAAAATACTAACTTTCAGAGACCATACTGAGACAATGACATTTTCAACTTGACCATACATTCACTACATACTTGTCCTATTTCTTTTATTCTTTGACTTCATATGACGTGGTGAAAGAATTACTTCTTTTACAAGGTCTAATTTAGTTTCTTATGCAAGGGTTGCATCTTGGAAGCACAGGAATAAATTAAGATTTAATTAAAACCCCAAAACATTAAAAAGCATTCCCATAGGCTCTCTAGATTATACTTATAGCCCATAATTTCTAGGTATTTATTAACCAAGCTGTTCCTCTTCCATAAATATTTGTCTCATCTAACTGGGTTATATACTCAATACTTTTCTTTTTAGAACTTTGATTTAAAGACACATGAGCTCTTCTTCACTTTTGGTAATCACTTGGTGTGTCATATTCTTCTACTAGCTCTAATGTTCTCCTGCCATTTCAGCTTTCCTTTTTTCCCCTCTTTTAAAGAAAATTACGTTTTCTTATCACCATTCCAATGTCTACCTGAAAAGATGAAAATTGTGACGTATTCTGGTTTTAGCTTTAATAAAAATTTGTAACTGAACTTCACTGACAAAGTGAAATTTTCAAGGTGCTTTGGCAAAGCTCATAGTCAGAAAAAGAACATGCAGACCTGACATGTAGACAACCAACGTGTCGTCATCACATCATTACTTCCAAACTTCCGCATCAAGACTAGAATCAAAAAGTCACTCTCCTATCCTTAACGCATCTTTTATACTCAGCAGTTTGCAGCAGTTGTAAATACCTACCTAAGTTTCTAACTCTTAAACTCATGTATGCTTTGAGGGCTTGAAGGTAGTAACAGGGCCATAGAATACAGTCCTTTTCTGGAAAAACCTTTAGTAGTTCTATCTTTTCTTTCTCTCCCTGTCCTCTCTGCACCTCCCAGAATTGAAAAATAATTTTGTAAAACTGTAAACGTGATTCTTAACCATGCAAAATAACTCAGGGTTTCTATCTGAAAAAAAGAAAAAACTGCAAAATTTTGCAAGGATATACCATGGAAAATATCTCACCATCTGTAGTTACAGCATACTACACCATGTTGTCTCTGAAGTCTTCTACTGGCTGAAGAAATACCACTGTCTATTCATGAAATTCACAAAACCTACAGTAGGCCAGTACCACATTTATCACCAAACAGATTATTATGTTCTGCCTAGCATCGAGCCTAGAGTACTAGTTAGATTCATGTATCATGAAAGGAAAAAAACAATTAACGCATCTTAATTATAACCTACCTTCAAATTTCACTGTCAATTATGTTCTGAACCTATAAACATTATAAACATCATAAAAATCAGACTAAGTAATAGATATTATTTTCCTGCAAAATGTTTAAGAAGTGCATAAATTCACCAAGCTATGTTAGTTACAATCACTGACCACCTTAAATTACTGTTTTTTTTTTAAAAAAGTTATTCCCTTGCAGAGTATGAAAAACACTGTACCTGTGTTGAACATTTCCAGCATGAATGGCTTCTGGTGGAACTCTCCAAGGACAGCTTACTCTTCCTCCAGGAAGACGTTTGAAATCAAACTGGCAGCAGATTTTTGGATCTGGACCACAAGTATGAGGAACATCATAGCTATAGAAAGGCATCATATGGCAAAGAATGTCTGTACTGGATCCCAAATCTGGAATTAATTACACAAAGCACACCTTTAAAATAAATGCTCTCAGATATACCCAAAATCAGTTAGATGTTGTTAATCGAAGAACTGTATTACAAACATCAGAACAAGATAATTCCTTGCTTTGATTATCCAGACCTGGAATCTACCTTTCTATATACCTTACACATACAAAGGCTAAAAACAGAGAGACAACCAAGACTGGAATGTTAAAATCAAGAACCAGCTGATTAGGAAAACAGTCACAAAAGGTATGGGGTTTTCTTATCCACATAAATCTCGTTATTTGTAGAATTTTTGAGGTGAACAAAACACATCATCTATACTATGAGTGAATCAGAGCAAAAAAAGACCCCAACCAGTAAAAAATAATTATAAATAAAAACAAAAAAAAAAAAAAAAAACAAAAACAAACAACCAACAAAAAAACACCAACCACTCTGCTGTCATTACCTCATTTGCATAACATTGGCTGGCTTTAGCAATATCTTAATTTCTTGAACACAATTTCAATCCATTAACAGTACAATTCTAAGTAGTTCTAGATACATTCTGCATGCAGGCATATACAATTACATAGAATTCTATGGACTGTTGAGACCATCTTTGCAATTTCAACTTTTCCATCTCATCAGTCCGTCCCCTACAAGTTAACCCACCAATAGCAGAGATAGATATAGATATATACATCTGTGTATGTTTTGTGAAGTCTCAAAAGAGAATCTTTTGATATTTAACTTCAGCAAGAACCTGAATTTGTCACAGAACTTTAAGTTTACTCATCTAATAAAATACCTAAATGCCGATTACCTATTCCCAGTACAAATAACTTAAACTAAGTTTATGCTGAAAAAGGGGATGAATGATGCACATGTGCCACAGAACCTATCTCCTAGGTGTGTCAACAATTTATACAAAAATACTCTTCAAAACCTCGTAAGTCTTCACACTTCCAGCCCAGACCTTTTGTATAAAAGCTTCCATTTTATTAGCAAGGTAATATTCCATGAATATATGCATTTACTTTTCAACTACAGGAGCTCTCTTTATCTCAGGTACCATGTCTACATATTATGTCAGATAACTATGCAGTGCTCTTTGACATGTGGTCTGTTTTGAAAAGCCTTCTTTAGAAGCCCAAACACTAGACCAGAACATCCATGTGATTTACATATGTAACTGTTTAGGAAAAAAAGGCCTCTCAATTAAGTCTTCTGTACACTGAGTGGCATATGCTAACATTCATGGAAAAAATTCTCAAGTGTCAGTATCTGACAAGTTCTTTCACAGTGGTATGTCTTCCTCAAGTCAAGTTTATTTGTGCAGCTGATTGCTATCTCTGAATACCTTCCCTCCTACAATATCCAACTGAAAACAAAGGAACTATAAAGGTTCAAAATCACAACCACCTTTCTATAGCAAGTACATTTGTTTGATCTCATATTGATAATGTATCATATATTACCTTACTTCAAAATCAGAAAGATCAAAACCTCAACTCCATACATTCTTACAGCTTATTGGAATGCTGGTACAGCACAAAATGATAAAATACTCATATAGAAAAGTATGTTAAATTACAGATGTATCTGTTTGCTAAGGGATAATCACTACATTATCAAAGAAAACTTTTATACTCTACATTGTATAAATAATGTCCAAAAAGCAATTGTATTTATTCTAAGAATAAGGTTTTAGATGAGAATTTAATTGAAAATTAAAATGGTGAAATGTATTTAATCTGTTTTTCTGACTAAAGATAGCCTACAAATTTCAACTCCACAGAAAGCTACTGTAACTAATGACACCAATTTGTCACAGCAGCTGAGGAAAACTTTGCTTGAAAGTTTTTTCTTTAGTAAGAATATAAACAAGATAGATGTCTCCATCTTCAAATACTCACTTTTGGCATTTTTTTTCTCTCTCTAAAAGAAATGCTCATTCTCTTCCCTTTAGTTCCACATAGTACGAGGAAGAAAACAAAGAAATGAGAAAAGAAAAAAAAATAGTCCACCACCCCATTTACATTTTTTTTTTTTATACATACTTAAGAAATATGGAGGAAAGGAAATAAGAGAAAGCAAGAGCACAGATGAGAGTGAAGAAACAGAAAGATCAGAGGAACAATGGCAATAATACAGTTTTTATCTTTAATCCTTTTTCAAAACCACAGGTACTCGCATTCCCTTTCTGTTATTAATAAAAATCCCAAACCCCAGAAATGTAACCTAGGTGGAAGACTGTTTTAGACAGAACTGCAGGTCTGAAGTTTTCAGGTCTAGAATAACTTCTCTAAGTAACCTGTTCTGTAAAGACTTCCATAGTATTTGTTCAAGTTCTCGGCATATTTAACTTGTGTAAATTAATGAAATAAACTGACAAAGAAAAATACATACCCCAGTTCTGTCTCCAAAAAAATTCTAGTGTCTTCTGCATTGCAAAATATTTTTTAACAGAGTAATGAACTCTCTGTATAAGCATATTGGAAAATCCTGCACGTTTCAGAAGGTAGGCCATTGTTGGTGAATGCCCAAAAGGATCAATTGCCCAACCAGACTTTGGTTTTACTCCTGTTGTCAAAAGAAAGAATGCAAAAGGGAAGAAAATTTTACTTTTCACTCAAAGAAAGTTATACCAATTTAATTAATATCAGAGCACTAAAGGTAAAATTTCCAAGAAGATAAATTAAAGTACAACACTGAATATTGTCTACTGCAGAACGTACCCTGGAATTAACAAGCTAGAATTAAAGATAAACAATGAACAGCAACAAAGAAATGTCTTAAAGGCAAGGCATTCTACATAAAACCCCTGTGATTAGTAGTCTACATTGTTACACTAAGTCAGTTTGTCTCAGACATCTTTACATGAAACCGTAAAGTGAAAAAGGAGATGTATTTCATTAAGTAGTTTAAAGATGTTACAGTTGGAAAGGTTACCAGGTGGAGACCAATTAATTCTGTAGATTGTTGAATTTTCACTGCAATTTAAGTAATGTTAACCTTTGCTGGCTTTGGAACTAATTTGTGTTTATTTGGTTGGCAATCATTTGCATTGTGTTGATTAAATACTGTCTTTTCACTGAGCTTCATACTAGCAAGTAAAAAAGATAACTCTTTTTGAACTGATCCTTCAGCATGGCTCCTTTGGCACATTTCTACTGTTTTACCAAAAGAACAGGAGGGAATGCATCACCCTCCTATTAAGCCTTCCTTCCCTATCTCTTAATTATGTCAAGCTGTGTTTATGGAAATCACAGTCAAAGAAAAACATAGTGAAACAGCTTTTCAAAATAATTTCAGTTAACTGGGCAAAATAATGTTAACGTATTATTAAATCACTGTGCAAGTATTTTGCACATAAAAAGGGTTATCTCTACTTATGGAACATTAACTCTAGTTATAGAACTTAAACAACCCTCCCACAGCCACCTAACAGCTAAGCCAGTGCTACTGTAGTCAGTAATTTCTCAAAGTTTCAAAAGCAAATTAGTTGACTTTTTCTGCGAACAATTCTAATATTACAGTGGGTTTAGGTTTTTTAACTCCTACCACTGCTACAACTACTACTAAATTTCATATTTGTTTTTTTGAAAGCCTTACATAAGAGAACCTAATGAATACACAGCATGGAAAACAGATCCAAACACATGGAAGGAATATCGACTTCAAGTCATTTAAGCCTTTTGTCACTGTTTTCAAAAGACAAAAATGGCAATTGGACACTGTTTGTGATACCAGTTGTCATCTACAACTGAGCATGATATAATGTTATCTTTTATAATGCTAATATACTATGCCCATCTTTCAGGGATCAAGACAAAATATGATATAAAATTGTTTAAATACATCTCATTCAGGAACCTCTATCTGCAAACAGCAATTGTAAATAATAGATTCAACCCTACAGCTTCCAGTAAGTGGTCTGATTTAATGGTTCAGGAGACTAAATAGAGCCTCCTAGGCACCTCAAAAATACAAAAAAAAAAAAAAAACCAAACCAACCCCACCAGAAGATTTTCACATTGATTTCCTGTATTAACACCGTTAAAATCTAGATAAAGCTACATACTGAGGTTCTTTTCTAGCCACTGATGTCCTTCTATCAGTTGGTCAATTAAAGCAAAATAATGAGGAGAGGCTTCATCCGGCATGACCCATCCTCCCGTTACTATTTCAAATTGTCCATCTTTTATTAACCTGAAAAACAAGTACATAATGTTCAGAATCTTCCATATAAAAACACAGTCTCTAGAATCAATTTTTGAACGTCCAACAGGTATTTACTAGAGACACAATGGCTAAATCTAAATTGCTTGTGCCACTTCCATCACTAGACTACGTTTTGATTCTTTAATCAAAACAGGAAAAGAATGAACAAATTAACAGTGACATTTTTAATGCCCCCTGTGCAACTGAACTGCCAGCTCTGCTGCATGTCCCATATTTATTTTAAATCAGGAAGAAAGGTATTTCCTGCAGAGACAGAAAAATAAAAGTGTTTAGTGTCCAAACTATATCCTTACTTCGCAGTTTCCCCAAGCAGCACACTGTGTCTCAATGTCTATGCAAATCTTTTACTTCTCTATTACATTTTGACTTCTGATTTTAAAAAGGACTAAGAAAAGCAAGGGTGTAAACTATGTATTACTTTAACATTTAAGCAGCTGCATGTTTACAAAAAAAACACCTATTTTAAAAAAAAGAAAACTAAAAAACTCATTTCACAATTGTTTTAACTGAATAAAAAATTATGACAAACTGCCAACATGAAAGATTATTTGTACTCCATGACCAATACTTCGATGTGACTTCAAATAACATTTACAATCACAGCTCCACTACAATTCAAATTACATTTTCATGGTTGTACACGGAAACTTTTAGTCAATTGCTTAACTAACTTAAGTAATTTGTAATTTGGCTTTACTTGTTTAAATAGATTTTTATTTTGTATCTAGGGTCAAAAAAAAAAGAAAAAAAGAAAAGCCCCAAAAAATCAGAACTTGAGTAGTCAATTATTGTAGCAATTCTGCATTGCAATAAGTGAAACCTCAAGTCCACAGTGTAGTCAAACGCACAAGGTCTCAGAACATGCCACAGAGGTAATAAGAAATAATTGAGTGTTCAAACCTTTTAACAGCATCCCTCTTTTGGCTATCTATTCCATCCCACCATTTTGAAAAGTAAGAAATCTCAGACCACATAAATTTCCTCCGGTTGTCTTCTTGCAGTTTTATAACCATATTATTTAAGATATGCTGTGTCTGATCTCTGAAGTAATCATCAAAAGTCTTCAGCCAACCTAAGAACAAGAAAATAAGAAATTTAAGGTTGCTTTCAACAGACTTAGA